AATGGAACGTTACCCCTATATTAGGGTTAGAGGTGTGCACCAGGGTAGGGTTAGGTCAGTGGGGGCGAACCTATAGCACGTGTGCCACAACAGACATGCAGAGCCCTCTCTGTCGGCATGCGAGCCAAGTCACCCCAGCATCACTCCAGCAGCCAAGCATTGGATAACAGCAAACACAGGGCCCATGCATGAGCATGCTGGGAAAGGAGTCATGGCGCCAGGCGACTCTTTAACTGCGACCCATCTGAGCTTTTGCATGGCCGGTCAGTGCGCTGCCAAGGAGATAGATAGATAGATAGATAGATAGATAGATAGATAGATAGATAGATATATTTGCTTGGACTGGCTGTGAGTTGTTTTTTCTAAACTAAAACCTCAGTTTTCAGGTTTTATTGTAGTGTTGGCACTTTGTGATATATAAGTGGGTTTTGGGTTGCAATTTGGGCACTCGGTCTCTAAAAGGTTTACCATCACTGCCCTAAAGAAACTACCAGGTGTTCTTTGGTCAGTAGCCATGGGGGATGGTGTAGCTTAGATGCTTGGCATGGGAAAGGTCCTAGGTTCCATCCACAGCATCTCTAGGTAGGGCTAGGAAAGAATCCTGAAGGACCACTGTCAGATCCTTCAGGAGAGGAGCTGAGGAGGAGGAGCTGAGAGGAGCTGAGAGGAGGAGCTGAGGAAGCTGCTCCATGCTAAGGCAGACCACTGGTCATTCTAGTGTTCTCCACAATTCTCACCTCTTCCCAAATCTTGTTGCCACAGTTTCTATTCGTCTGCCTCTACAGCAACTAGTTAAAAAAAATGGCACAGTATGAGTTCTCACAGGGCTCAAAGGAAAGGAAAGGAAAGGAAAGGAAAGGAAAGGAAAGGAAAGGAAAGGAAAGTTGCATGGGCAACTTCAAGGCTCCTTCCTATTCTCCCCTCTTATGTTTCTTTATCTTTAAATTAGATTTAGCCCGAACAGCCCTTCAGACAGAGGTTGCCTTTGAATAGGGGACAGTTCCCTGTAAAGTAAAATACATGGTTGCCCTATGTATCCCATCATTAACCCAAACGTTAGGCCCAGGTAGCACATTTTTCATTCTCACAAGGAGAGCTTGCACTGTTCTAATACGTACACAGAGAGATTGAGAGAGAAGCACATAGATACATCAGGCAACATGATAACTCACAAGGTTGAGTAAAGGTTGAGGACAGGTTATTCATAAGCCATGCGTTGCTGTTGATGCATGAGTTATAGTGTCCAAACCCAGCCATGCCAACAAACCATGGCTTGCTAACTAGGTCAACCCACCAAGTCAAACCACTAGACTCTCTTCGAAGGTTGCTTGTGGTAACAAGGTATGGCTTGTTATTTCAGCTGGTTCAGACAAGATGGTAGCCTACATTTCAACAACAGTTCATGGCCCATTGACAGGCTCTGCTCGACCCATACTCAACCCTTAACTGTGGGTTGTCATGTTATCTGAACCCAGTGAAAAGCCTTCATTCTCACAATTAAGTCCAAGAGAAGTTCTCTCCATGTTGTACATGGACAGCCCAGCTATTTTCAATTATATTATAAATATGTACTGCTGATCATTTCAAGATGTGATGTAGAGTAGAGACTGATGTGTTGAAAGATCCCTGGGAAAATCTCAGCTCAACTCACAAGGAGATTTACACAAACAAGATGATACTGACCTGTCAGAAGGACAGTCTAAGGCTTACGGTAATGATGTGGAGTGCTTTAAACATCAGCTACACTGACTATACTAATTTTACTTTACATGATATTCCCATAAAATTCAGACTATACATCTCCTAAATGGATTTCTTTATACAGAAAATGATAGGGAAACTCTGAAGCATGCATCTGAGCATGTACAGAGCTGCTTCCCCTTATAGTGACTGAAGCTCATTCAGAGTTAAAAACATCAAGAGTCAAAGGCAGGCTTTCAACAGCAGACTGCACAACTGTCCACCAATGGATATCTGATTCATTCTTCCTGCTCCTCCTTGAGTTCTCTCACAGAATTAAAGCTTCTAAGCACCATGCTTTCCAACAGATCCAATATATTTGAAAGATTCCTACTATTACCAATGTAATTATTTGCTTCAAATTCTACAGCCTTTCTGGAACATTCAGTGCAGCCTGAACCAAGACAGACATTACTTCAGATCTGTGTTGAGCACTGTATTTTTATTATTACTCTAGAGCTGGCAGATCAGGCCCCCTCTTGGATGCAGACCTGAATGAGGCAAGGGGGTTTGACAGGGTCAGAGAAGTCAAGAGCAATGCTGCCAAGAGACCGGACTCTCTCACAATCTTGTCTCCTAGCAGGGTTGCCCAAGGGTCACCAGACTAACCATACCGTTACAGTCACATCAGCAGAAGGGAAATAATATATTTAATGGTCACGGGGCACAGAAGCCCTTGAAGGGGAGCTCCTGGGCAGCAGGAGCTGAAGGAGCCACTGGTGAAAGATCTTTCACAGACAATGACAGTGAAGCTCGAGATCACTCCAGCCAGTACTACAGAGAAGAAAGCAGAAGTAAAACACTTCTGAATCTTCTTACTTTGGAAACCCTATGACGAAACATTCCAAAGTGAAACAAGAGATAGCGCCAGAACATGAGATTCCCAGGTTGGAAGGCACTCAGTCAGCTACTGGGGAAGAACAAAAGACAAGTGCAAACAGTGCTGTCATTAATGATGCAACCAGATCAATGTCTTGAGGCAGACATCCACAAAGACGAGAGAGAAGTCCTGTGCTGCACAACACATACAGCTGGAATGCAGAACATGAGAAATACGAATCAAGACAAACTGGAAACTGTAAAGCACGAAAGGTGTAGAGGGATCAGGCATTAACCTTGAGCAGGGCTATTGCTATAATTAGGCAGAGTGAAGTGGCTGCCAGAGGCAACAGATGCTAAGGAGTGAGGGGCAGCACCATGCCTTCAGGTGGGGGATGCTACCCCTCATCAGTGCTGAAGTCCAGCTGACTTCTGTACATGGATGGGCTGGCACAGCATCTTGCCCTTCACCTTGGATAGCCACATACCTCGAGTCAGCCTGAACATAATGTCACATTCACTATTCATTTGGACTGTCAGCCTTCTTCTTCTTCCTCTTCCTGGCTTGTCCCTGAACTTGGCAGATGTTCCGAAGCATTTTCCAAGTAGAAACATGTGTGCATGCGCACATCCACGTGTGTTTGTCAAACCATTTCTTAATGACATAGATAAGATCACATTCTTGTCTTCTGTCCAATGCAGAATAATTCCTCCTTCTCATTTCATATAATCCTTTCTATGAAGCAGAATCACTACATAGCCATAAGGATGCACTGCAAGGAGATGGTAAACTCTAATACTCTTGAACACCTACCTGTCTGTTTTTCAACTACATGGCAGATGGCAACTGGGGGAACTATTTAAATTGTAGGGAAAGCACAGAGGAAATTTTAATCCTCCTCCTAGTGGCACAGTCCTGACCCCAGAGAAGGGTCTCTCAGCAGGTTCTAAGAGACCTCCACTTTGGTCAGAGCTGTACCACTAGGGACAACTAATCCCTGTGACCATAGAAAAGGTTTGTCCTCTCAACCGACTAAGGGCAAACAGCTTCCTCTAAACACCCCGCCCCCACTCTTTGCATCCTTAAGGAGATGGACACAATTTAAGATTAGAGAAAGAATGTATTTTGTGTGCTAATCTGAGGCAAAGGCCTTGATCTTGCTCAGACTGGTCATCCCACTGTTCTTGTCATCTCTGCGGATCCTCAGGTACTTCCTATATGGAACCTATTCGGAAGGCCTATACTTCCATGCCAGAAAGCCTGAGCTAGAGCCTTCATCTGGAGTGACCACTGAGAGCAAAAGGTGAGCAGAAGAGGCAGGCAGCGCATGGGGAAGTGGAGGAGCCAGTGGAGAGCAGAGCAGGAGCAGAAACCACGTGGGCAGGCAGAGGTGAACTCCGGAGGGACGGGCAGTGAAAGGGGAGCGGAAGAGGGGCCTTCAACAGCACCATGACCAAGAGCATCCAAAAATCTGATGCTGGCCCTGCCTAGTAAGGACATTTGCCCCTTTCTTTTTTGCTTAAACCATTCTATAATGAAAACGCGATATCAACATTGGCTAGAATGTGCAAGAGAAAATGGCCGTGCTTTTACAGTGCTTTCCTACACAAGGCTTCTAATCTGCTATATCTGCATTTGGGCTCTCCATAAAACTGAGAAACATGAGCAGTGCTTCCTTCCTGCTCTTCCAGTGTATAACTTCTGTGTGGTACTGTCCTGTACTGGAAAAGCAGAAATGCTCAAGTGGAAAAAGCACATCCTTTCCGTTTTCAAATACTATCACATTTTCCCTCCTTAAAAAAAACTCACAGAAAGTTATCCTTAAATACAGAAATGAAAATGGAGAGTCACAATATCATCTAAAGAACTCGCAACCCGCTATAAGTAGGGAATGACAAGCACACAATAAATGCCTCATACACAAAGCGCTCGAGTTTTCCATCCCAGTTCTTTCAGTTATATATTTTTTCAAACTCTCAAAACTCTTGGGAATGGTGCCAAAACCATCTGATGCCATGGTTCAGAGGTGAGTGAGATGTAGCCCAAGGGCATGTGGTCCTTTGATCCCTCCAGGACACTCCAAAAGTCAGGAACACATATATTTTCAAATTCCCGTTTTGTCACTGGAATTTGGCAGCAAATGGCTGCGGAGACTTACTGTGAACAAATTACCTGGAAAGCAAGCTGAATTTATCCTCAGTAAGTCGCATAGTGGTGAAGCTGACACTTTTTTTTTTTTGTATTTGCTGCCACAGCAAGGGCAATTTGTATCCTGCAGGAAGGAGATCTATGGGAGAAATCGGTCCAGATGATCCAGAATTGCCCCTTTCTGCCATAGCAGAAGCACCGATTCCTTGCTGTGCAAAAATAGCCTCTGGTACTGTGCAGGTGCCGGGATCTACTCCCATCCCCCTTTTCTCCCCCAGGTTTTGCTTCTTACCGTGTGGGAATCTTCACCCGGAGGTACCGATCCACGGCAATGGCCAGCAGTGCCAAGACGGAGCTCTCGGTGAGGATGAGCACAGGGCAGGCCACCATCAGGCAGCTGTAGAAATGTATGCGGGGTCCAATGTTGATGATGATGGCGAGCGGGATCACGAGGGCCCCCACAGCCACGTCTGCGACGGCCAGCGAGACGATGAAGTAGAAGGTGGCGTCGCGCAGGGCCTGGTTGACTTTGACAGCCCAGATGACCAGGATGTTCCCTGGGATGGACACCAGGGCGATCAGCACTTCTATGGTGATGTAGGCGGCCTGGAAGCCTGATATGGCATGCGGCATGGCGGTGTCAGTCCCACAAGCCTTGCGACTCTTACGCTGCTGCCTGGGAATTTGAAAGGAGACATGGGCTTTAAGGACAGGAGCAGCCACTCAGGAACTTTTCCCCACTAGCCACCTTTCAGGTGTGCTGGACTGCAACTCATTCGTTTGTTTATTTGTTTATTCCTTTAAAGTTTTTATATCCCCCCCTTTACAGTGTCTGAGGGTGGCGATAACTAAGGCACAGCATCACAAATAATATATAAAATCAATATTAAAAACAAGACTAACATTTAAAATACTGAGAAAATAAAAAAGTTTTGGCCTGGTGCCGAAATGGGGAAAAAAACTCGTGACTGGCTGAGGGATGCTGGGAAGTATAGTCCAACACACCTGGAACAGGTCACATTGCAGGAGGCTACCTTAAATTATTCAAAGCCAGTCAGCCTCTTATAGAGCCCCCAACACTGCACACACATGTGCATGCACACACGCACACGCACATGTACACACACATGTACACACATACACACTTCGATCAACACTTGTAGGATAACAGATGCCACTACTTCTGTGCGCTACATGTGCTCCTACACAGTCCTGTAAAACTCCACAAATTATTGCTCGGTTTGTGCAAAGTCTTGCTGGTTCACTTTGCCATCCCTTGCTAGCCTGGATGCCACCAAGAACTTCACACATACTGGTAATGTCATTCCAAGTAGGGCACCGCACAGACAATTTGCCCTTCCATCATGCCTGGTGACTGTGATGAGACTAGAGCTTTTCTGTTACCATATTTGATCCTTACCTGTTCTGTTTGACAGTTGAGTGGCATTCAGCTAACAGCATCTGAATGCTGTTGACTCATATGGCCCCATAACAGCTCTGCAAAGGTTCACAGGAGAGCCTGTAGTTCAGCAGTAGAGTTTCTATTTTGCAGGTAGAGGTCTGCCCATGTTCAATCTATGGCATCTCCAGGTAGGACTCGAAAAACCCTTCCCTGAAGTTCTCGAGTGCTGCTGCCATTCAGTGTCAATCACACTGGGCTAGATGGCTTGACACAATATTTATATTCTCCTAAGAGAGAGCGCCTCCACACATCCCTATTCATATCTGCAAGATCCTTGTTTAAATGAAAACATTCTGCATCTATTCAGGAAATTTTCATGTTCTCGTAAACTTCCAAAGCAAAGAGCCTCTAAAACCGGCCTGCAGCCACTGGGCACACCTTTCTACATGCAGCCATGTCTTACAAGAGGTTAAGACAGCAGGGACATGGGGCTTGTAGATTTCACTAAGATACACTCACCTGTTTTCTCCCATAATCGGAGCACTGGGTGGCTGCATTTATTAAGAGTGGCAGGCATTTTGCTACAATAATTGCAGCCAGATTCATGGTTACAGCAAGCAGGCTTATGCTTTGAAAAGGGAAGCTATTATGGTCAGATAACTAATCACATGTGCATCATCAGATAAGCAATATCTGGGTGAATTAGTAAAGAAGCAGTATTTAAGCTGCATTCTGTATATATCTGCAGGCAAAGAAAATTGTAGCAGTGTGAAACATTGCAGGGAGCAGGGGCTGCTCTTGCAATTATCCTTGGCCCCAGAAAAGAGCCGTAGCTGCAAAAGGATATCCCTCGTTTTTCTCTGCTGTAAAATTTTGGACAAGAGCTGAGCAGGGCTCTCATGGCTAGGACATATTGGAGGGCTTTCATTCAAAGGAGATTGCTTCACAGCACATAACAACTACAAAATTATGGAGCTTATGAACATACAGAAACACTTCTCTTGCCCTGAATGCAGCTTTTATAGCACGATCGGTAACTTCTGGCCCTCCAGTTGTTTTGGCTTACAATTCCCATCAACCGTAGCCAACACAATCCTTCGTAATGGAAAATACAAGATGTAGAGCCACAAATTACCCGCAATTGGCCCTGCTCTGTTTTATAGCAAGAAACACTTTCAGAAGGATTGGGGGCACCTGTGGGATGCACAGAGTTGCCAGGGAGATTCCTGTAGAACAGCATTGATACTGACTGTCCAAGAGCAATTGTTCTAAGACACTCCCATCTAAGGTTCCTGGCAAGTACCGGTGTGGGAGCATTTCCATGCTGTCACCAGACAAGGAAGAGGTATCAGCTGCCTTATTCAACCAAAAGCCCTGAAGTCTGGTCATGAAAGAAGGCCAAACCCTTATATTACCAAGTTGATGGACTGATGAATTTGGAATGCCCTTTTGTTTCTCAGCATTCTTTGCAGTGATGACCTTTGCACAGAAGCTAGACAAAAGGAGCAAAAAACATATGGCCCTCTAGATGCCGATGCGCTAGTTCTTCAATCATCTCCCACCATTGGCTAAGCTTCTGAGGCTGCTGGGAGTTGGAATCCAACATCTGGAGGGCCAAACATTCCCCAGCCTGGCTATGCAGGATGCTTCCATGTCCAGAAACCAGGTGTTGCCCCTTCAAATGTATTGTATTTTATTCAATGTTGTGAGCCGCCCCGAGGCTTCGGCAAGGGGCGGCATAGAAATGTTTTAATAAATAAAAATAAATAAAATAAAAAATGTGTCACTTTAATTCATCTGCTACCCACTTACGTGGCCAGTCAGAAAGTTAAAGCATGCGGGTAAAACATGTCCTCTACCACTCCTTCATAGCTTCTCTCCTCTTTTTGATATGAGATCTTTCTGCAGCTTCCCAGAAAATGTGCCAAGGAAGTATGGCAGCCAGTGCTTCTGCATATAACTTTGATGAGGCACTACAGCAATATCCTTTCTCATATATAACAACCAGGCTGCTTTTTGCCACATAGGTATAAATGTTAGTAAAATGCGAACGTCTACACTGGAGGTGGATGATAGGACATCTTATGCTCTCCAAATAAAGAAAAGCCAAATTCATAGGAGTGGCAGGTAAGGGGGAAGGGGCACCACTGTCAATGACTCACATCACAAAAAGATTCAGTAGGCACATTCCATATAACATTTGCAAGGGCAGTGCAAACACAAGGCAGGAATCACCACATCTCTCCAGGTACACAATATTGTGCTTTATCTAGGCGCCTAGAAAAAGGGACTTCTCTGAAATGCCAGCGCTACCTGGAGGTGAGGCATGCAAATTGTGCACAGACAGTGGAAAGCTGGTGGAGTTTTCCTGTGCAAACAGTGGGTCTTCTTAGTATAACAGAGCCCTGTTATTGCCTGGGCTACATGAATTCATTTTTGGTGTCCCTCTTGATCTCAGCTGAAACTGCTGATGTACCTGGAACAGCATAACACTCAGAAAAAGCTTCCAGAGTGTCAGGTCGTGTTGCAAAAGGTGTGCAAATGTTTCAGGATCAAGAGCTCCTCTTGGCTGGTGCCGCAAGGGATGACACACTCCTCACACCCCTCCAGTGGCCAGAGCAGTTCTGGAGCTGAGCCTTTTCTTCCTGCGGGGAGACAGCCCTTGCCCCCCACCTTTTCCCCATTCCATTTTTATATTAACAAAGTGATCGGTTTTGGATCAGGGCTAGTGGCCATTGTTCCAGAAAAACTGCTCTTTGTGCACAGCCTAAGAAACACGAGCTGGAATGACAAATAGTCCTGCTCATCTCTAACCCTGCCCTGCTGTGTGACTACTCAAGAGCAGCTCGCATTCAGTTCAATGGGGCTTTCAAACCCAGGTCAGTGGGTATAGCATTAAAGCCTAGGTATTTTTCTACTGCCTTATATATTTCATGTGACATTTCTCTCATTTGGATTTGGTTGAAATAAATTTCATTTTGCAGGAGGAATATAATGGAAGATTCTGGGGAAGGGTTTGGCATGCTTTCTCTGCAGGTCAGAGGGGAGAAGCCACTTGTTTACCATGACCATCAACTGACCTCTGTCCCTACTTTTCCCGATATTCACCCCACCAACCTCTGCCCATCTCCAGCCTCTCTCCACCTTTACCTGTTTCTTCTCTCTCTTACCCCCTTACCAAATTACAGCTCAGTACCAAAAGACCCAGCAGATCCCGGTGGTGGAGAAAAGATTATTTTTGTCCTGCGTAGATCCTAATTTCACTAACAAAGGAAGCCCCCTCCTAGTTGTGGTCTCCCCTTGGCAAGATATTGCCACTTGCCCACGTCTATGTAATTCCCTGCATCTAGCTTAAATTTGGCCATTCCAATAAATAGTCACCCTTCCAGAAATAACCTCTGAGCAACGTGGTCAAAAATGAACAAGAAAAAGAGATTGCCCCAAACACGCAAAGAAGTACAAGATTCAGACTCACTTTTCCCCACGCTGGGTCCAGTGTAGGTTATTGCTTCCTCCTCCAAGTGAAGACTTCGCAGCCAGGACGGGCAGCCTGAGGGAGCAAAGGTACCATTCTGCTGCCTGGGGGCTCAGCTAGACCCCCGTGTCATTCCGAGGGTGAGCGCGGTCCTGCTCTCCCGGTGGCAGGAGCTTTGACTCCCTGAATCGCCAAGCGCGCTTGTGGTCCACTGCGGTGATTCCGTGCTCCGATGCGGGCAAGCAGCCCTGCCATCCCTAAGTCTGCTCCGCTTCTGCGGCTTCTTCTAACAGCCTCTCAGGCTATCACATGGTCCATCACACTGCACCGCACACAGTGCCTGCAATGTTTTAAAGAGGTAGGAGCCTGTTTTTGGTGTGTGTGTCGCGGGGTGGGGGGAATCTCTCTTTCTCTCCAAACCGATTTAGTTTGCTGAACCGCAATCGCATACTACACCAGAAAGAGCCAAAGAGGAGCTGCTCTTTTACTGAGTCCCAAAGAGCTGGAATCTCTGCTAGCACGCCAGCCCATCCCCTGTGCCCTCTATTCGTTTCTGAAACTGAAATCGGCTCCCAAAATACTTCCTATTCTTAACCCTTGATGTGTGTTAGGCTCCAGCACCTACACAGTTCAGCTAGGGAAAAAGCTCTGCGCTTGCCTGGAGACACTTTCATTCATTCCAGGACCAAGCCCGAAACACACATTGCAGAAGTGAGTCCCGGACAAAGAATCCCCTGCCTGTGCTTGAAATCTGGGCTCGG